CCTTTAGGGTTGCTATTGCATCATCCTTTTACTCAGGTAGAGTAGTCTTTGCTCAGAAAGCCCTGACCATGTAGAAACATGAAAACATGCGTGGGACACAATATAAAAGAAGGGAGAATGGTAAAGGATGAAGTCACGTCTCCAGACAGGAGCCAAACACTAGAGAGCCTTTGGACCTAAGAGTTTAGAGCTTATTCAGAGGACAGTGGGAATCGTTCAGGTAGCTGTAAGCAGAAGCATGGTATGATCTGACTCAGGTTTTATTGATCATTTTAGTGTCTGCAAGAGAAATGGATGGAGAGTGGGGTGAGAGTGGGAGCAAGTAGATCAATGAGGATGCCCCTGCTGTCACCAAGCTCTGTATGACAGCGCCCTGCACAAGTGTGGTAATGATGGAGTGAAGAGGTGGGCAGAGTAGGGCTCTAAGTTTCACAAAGAGCTGATATACTGGGTGAGACATGGGGTAGCGGTCGGGGAAGGAGAAGTACTCTAATTCTCCGGTGTTCGATTGCCTAGGTGTTTTGTTTGAGCAACTGGTGATGCCATTTACTCAGAGGGAAAGATTAGTCAAGGGTCAAGATAGGCAACTGGGAAGTCCCAAGTTAAAAAGACTGCTTTTGCAAATTATTTCTGACATGCTCTATCATTCAAGTCGCCAGCTGGAAACAGATGGCGCCTGGGGTAAACTCAAATTGAATGTTTACAGAACTGTGAACAGGGTTAAGGGACCAAACACAGCACCCAAGGACTAACAACAGTGGGAAGCCACTGCTGCCCCTCGGTCTGAAGGGGCATCACTGGACACATGTGCCTTGTAGCCATGGGAGAGGACCTGCACAACAGGAGCTGTGGGATTCGGTAGAGGACAGGGCCACTGACAAAATCACAGCTGAACGGGAAGGGAACCGAGTGCTTCTTTATCTGTCCTCTGTATCCTGCTCTACCATCTCCTGCTGGCGCTCCCATCTGGCTCAGCCCAACCCAAAGACAGAGGGCCTGAGA